CACAGTAAATTTAAACATGCTGTGGAACAATCACATTTACTAGGTATTCATTTTTAGTTCCTATGTATGTAATGCAATAGGAACTACTGTATTAGAATCACTTTTCACTGTGTGTAGTGTGTGTGTAGACTTTTATGCAAATGCGCATGCATCAAGAAAAAGTTTTCCGACATTTTGTTTTTCTTGGCGATGCGAAGTTTCTACAGTGTTCAGTCAGGGCTCACGCTAACCGATCAACTGCAGCAGGATCTCTAGCCGATCGCCAAGTCGGCATGGGCGATACTAATTTGGATTGGCGGGAAAAAAAATCAACTGCTGTAGGCATTTTGAAGAAGGCCTAAAATAAAAAAGAAAAGTTTTAATACTTGCTAAAATACATCGTTTTTTCAGATCTCCATTTTTCGCTAACCCCATGCGACATTTTTTTCTGTTGTATAAGTAGTCATATGAAGTTTCTTCGCTACAAAAAAATTTTTTGGTTTGTTTTAATTCTTGGAATTACTGATATTATTTTTACAAGAAGATTGAAACAAAATATACTTTATTTATATCTTTATTTTAATCAGAATATCGTTTTGCTATGTCCACTCAAAAGTCTTAGTTCTAATTGATTTAACTTTAAGTGAAGTTTATAAAATGAAGGTGCAGAATTAGCTCTAAAAATGGAAAACTTGATGCATCTGGTACACATTTTTTGAACACATACATGGTGCAGCCAGAGGGGTGTCAGAGTGTCCTTTTTGTGTCAGAAAAATCATTTGAACAACATATCAAAATATATTTTTCTTCTGGAGCCTGGCTATATCATTATCTGAATAGAAGAATAAAACATTAACTAACAATCAAATACCGAATGCTTGATGACTGAGTGGTACAATTGAATATGAACTTTGTTGTTTTTTATTTTTGCTTTTCACTGTTTTGATAATTTCTTGTTTGTTTTATGTGAATAAAACATTAACTAACAATCAAATGACCGACTGCTTGATTGACTGAGTGGTACAATTGAATATCAACTTTGTTGTTTTTGCTTTTTGCTTTTGACTGTTTTGATAATTGCTTGTTTGTTTTCCGTGTAAGGGGTACACACAGACAGAAATTGTTTTATTCCGTGTGCTTCCGGTCACTTCTTTGTATTTTGAGAGAATTACAAAATAAATGTTTATTGAATTGAATTGTGAAATATGCAGACAACATTGTAATAAGTGGCTTTGTTTGTAATGGTCCTCTTGCAGAATTAAATTACTGTATTACTTTTCATTGTTTATTTAATGTACTGTATATGTGTAGTGTTAAATACAATAGTGAGTGAAATCACTTTGGCAATTCTTTAGATAATTAGAATGTATGCAAAAATCTACATTGTAATGTATATAGAGTAGTGTATTAATTTCATAGGTTGTTGTTTTATAGAAATGACAGTTATGCAGTTCAATGTTCTTAAAATGATCGTCTCAGACTGGTACAATGAAAACAGATGTCTTACTATGTTGAAAGTGTTGTTCAGAGATACGGTGGACATTGGAAAATTAGCAGAAATTACTGACACAATAGACCTGCTGAATGAATTGGTCAAACTGGGTAAGATGAGTGCAAAGGATCTTACTCTGCTGTATGACACCATCAGAATAACTGGACATTTTTCTCTTCAAATAAAGATTAAAGAAACATTTCCATTATTCCCGGATATTGAAGAAGGAATAATTTCAACAAGTTTCACACCTCACAGACAGAAACTACTGAAATTGGGGAAGAAGTTGACTTTAGAAAATGTGACACGGATTGACAAATTGTATAATACGCCTCGTAAGATGTATACCGACAGTTGGAGTATGATCATTGATCTAGAAGACAGACTGGAAATCAGCGAAGAAAACATGACGACTTTCATTAAATCTTTGAAACTTCTTAAGCTTCATCTGGCATTGCAGGTACTGACAGAAGGTATTACAGTGTTCACTGTTTTTGTTATCATGTCAGTCATTTTATTAATTCGAATGACAGACAACATTGTAATAAGTGGCTTTGTTAAAAATTTTAAGGTGTATTTTTACAATTAAATTTATATTTGAGAGTACAGTACTTCAATATAATTGTTTGTAAATAATGCTCATACTAGAATGCCATTTGACCCTGATGCTCTTAACCTTGCCAATTAAAACCCATCTTTTATTCAAGCCTGCCATTTTTTTTTTGTACTTTCTTGTTCTTTCTAACATACTTGTTACCAAGATTCATGATTTTTTATTTTATACTCTAGTGAGCATGTGTTCAAAAGTCATTATTAATTTTTTTAAATATACTGTTTTAACTTTAGAAAAATGATTTATGCTATGGATTATGTTGCTAATGAACAAATAATCAATTCTATTTTTTCAGTAGATAATGGAGAAGTATCAACATCAGAAACACCAAAGTCAGACAAAGGTTTGTACTAAGAACTAAATAATTGCTTAATATTTATCGTGGATAACTATAATGATTGACTGTGTAATTGTAGAACGGATATTATTCAGTGTAATTCATCTGATACTGAAATTTAATTGATTTATTCAATAAAATATTGTATTTGTTTTATGGGGAGTTTTATTAATCATCATTTATTTAAGTCAGCATTTTCCCTCTTACAAAGGGTACTCACTTCCACGCCATGATGACGTTTCATCATTTCGCTATTGGAGAGAGTATTGATATTATCTAGTGTATTTCGTGAATACTTACGTGTATATACTGACTAATTGGCTTTGATCCTGAAAGAGAACACACATTCCAATAAAACCGAACAGTTTGATCCAGGGTAGTTCGTTCAAACTGTCTCCTAAAAATAATCCTCACTTCCGTATTTGACTGTGTGAATAAGAAGCTCCCTTTGTGCTAAAATATCTAAATACCACATGCATTTTTGAGAGATGGTGTTTTTTTTGGTTTTTTTTCGAAAAGTTTCTTTACTACAAGAAGATTTTTTAGATGGTTTTTATTCTTAGAATTACTGATATTAAATATTGAAACGAAATATACTTTATTTATATCTTTATTTTAGTCAGAAGATTATTTTGCTATGTCCGCTTGTAAGGTTTGTGCTCTGCACAGTGGTGGCTCTAGGATATATTTTCTGGGTGGGCTAAGTTGTCCGACAGGGAGGACTTGAGCTCGTAGGCTCGAGCTGGAGGAAGGGGTTGAGAGGGGGTCCCCCCTCCCAAATGAGATTTTTTTAAAGAATATCAACCTCTGGATGGCTGAAAATGGCACTCCACTCATCATCGCCGCCTTTCTGAACTTTCCTGGATTATCAAGCTAAAAACTCACACTCATGGCCTTAACAAAGATCTTGACTTTCTAGCTGACTTCACCTTTCACCTCTAAACTGTTTATTC